ACTAAAACGGTTCCTTAAAAAATTATTTGTTGCTAAAAAATGCGTTTATTTATTAACAATCGTTTTTTGCCACCAAATATTAAATCGAAGGAAACATTTTTTCCCAAAAAATCATAAATTCTGTTTTTTTATTAGTTTATGTAAAAAACAAATTTTTAACGAATTTGTTTATAACGTTTGTAATTTTTTTCAGCGCCTTTTCGAAGTTTTACTTAAACTTTTTACATGACTTTAAAAATTGAATGACACCTTGATCGTAATTTTCGGAGACTATGTAAGAATTCTAGAAGAAAATGGTACATGTGCAAAAAGTCCTTGGAGTGTGTATGAAAATAATTTTGGCATTTTTTTCCATGTTGAAGTCATCATTTTTCTTGCCTTTTCAGCCTAAATAGTTATCTCACCTTCCAGAGAGCTTAATTTTGAAAGTACGCTTACACTTTCAATAAACACTAAAACAGCGAAAATAGTACCTACATAACAAGTTTCGTGGGCACATAATTGAAGATTCATATATTTGTTGGAAATGATAGGAAGTAAATACAAAACATTTTTCCTATTCACGTAATAGTCCAAGCTGCTACAACACAAATTACATGAGGTATGTATTAAATGAGCCTAAAATTTCAACTATCTAAGTCTACCTTCTAACAATAGAACGCTTGCTATTTTTGAAATTCTCTATCACATGACTATAGAAGGTTGTTATTTTACGTTTCATATTCTAACCTAAAGAAATAATACAACTCAACCGAGGTGAAAAACATCACCTTCATCACGAATAAAATGCATACAATTTAAAACTACTCCACTGAATGTATAATGAACATAAATGACTAGTGTACTAGATTCTCGGTAAGAAAAGAAAAGAAAAAAATTATGAAATTCTTTTAAAACATTGAGGGACCAAATATTTGAATCCTATCCTGTAAGTGAGCACAGCGCATGTGTAATCTAAGATACCCCCAGACAGAAAGCATCAACTCATTCTGATAAACGCACAAGAACGTATTTTCGCGCTATCAGCTGTTGTGTAGTAGGAGAAGGAGAGAGTTTAGTTTGAGGTTAGGTGTTTGTATCTGTGCAGTAACTCTTCAGTTATTTTAACAAATTTAGTAATCTCCATTCAAGATGGAAGGTATCGATTTCACAAGCCCTCACGCAAACTACCGATCACCCCTCTCCTCACGATATGCGAGCAGAGATATGAGATACAATTTTAGCGATGAAAAAAAATTTTCTACGTGGAGAAAATTATGGGTAAATCTCGCGAAAGCAGAAAAGGTAAGTGCTCATTGTTTGTTTCATTTATCAGTTTGGAAAACTATCCCCTGAATTTTGACAAACAACAACAATTTCACAATTTATTTCATGCAGGACCGTACTGTGTCTGATATTATTGATATTAGTTCACACTTCAATGTCATGGTAATAGTGGAAACAATTCATGTCAATATAATCAAACAAGTCGCTAAGTTAAAAAAGCTGGAATCCTCGCAATGATTACATGAATTTTCTTGATAAAATATCCGAATTTGTTTAAAATATGATTTACCGGTAGCAGAACATGTACTCGGTACCGAAACTTTAAATTTAATTAGCGGAAATACACGATTATTAGTTGCCTGGAGAGAAACTTATTATTTTGTTTAGGAAAATAGGTATTCAGTGATGCAAGATAATTTGAAGGGCACAATTATTGAATGCATGTATATATGTCGAGTGCAGCTATGAGTGTGTAGGGTTTTCCCTACACTACTTAGTTCAGAAACATTTTATTTCTTCTTTGATTTTTATTTTGTATTATGAATTTTTGTTAGAAAATCAACATTTCATAACAGCATTATCGAGCAGTCGTCCAAAATATCCATCTGCTTGGGTTTTTATGTAATTTTTTTTATTTTAATTTTTACTTATCATTTTCGTATTTTTCCATCGCATATTATTGAAATGCTCTCTTCTCTCAAAACAAAAGATTATTGCCAAAAAACAGATGAATATTTAGAACGACACCACTTGGGATGTTTCGAGTAGGTACTCATAGTCAACACTTTTATGGATTAAGACAAGGAATTCGAGCCCAAGTGGTTGACCCACTCTTGACTATATGTATGACCCCGACCATTACCAGTGATTAATCTTCGAGAGTTACTTCGAACACATGCATTCATTCTGTTCTGAGATTTCGGCCGGGAACTAATTCGGATTCTGATTCTCCTCGCCACGAGGTTACACCGTTATTTTATGATTGTCGATTTGATGGTGTTATTTATACATTTTATTGTTTGTGAACGCTGTGTCCGTCTGATTAATAATTCACCTATAACCAGTCCCGACAAATGGAACTTATACCACTTCCAAACTGATTCCTAAACACTCAGAACACTCAGACCAGACTTTGATTAGTGAGGGATTTTTTCTTTCTACAGAATCATAACCTCAAATTCATATTATTCATATATAACATAGGTCAATAAAATATAACAGACTAGAATAACGATTTGGATGAATAAGTATGCAGATTATTTTATTGTATAACATCCACACAAACTCATTTTCAATCTTACCCCCACTAGCGCTCTTCCAAGATAAACAAATGCTCTATACAGAGGCGTATCATTACTTATCCTTCAATATTGTTGGCGTGGGGCATTGTCCGAATAATGTGTGTTGTTTCTGAAAAAATGTCATCGCCTAACTAAAGTTTATATTTGGATAAGTGTATCATTATATAACATTTTAATGAACTGTACTACTACCTATAATACCAAATGAAATATGAAAAAAATTACAAAGAAGTCATGTTCCATTTCCTACCTAATTAAAACTAATTATAGGTACGACTCTGGCCGGCAAGGGGCTTATCGTAATCCAATAGTAATTTAGTTGGGAGAGTATATACCTGCGCGATCGCTCGCCATCACATTTAGCGCTTGCTGTATTTAATTTTCACTTATTTGTTCATAACTTTTTTTATATGATTTATTACCCAAGATCTAAACATATTATTGGCAAAGACTAGTAATGTAAAACATGTATATGGGACATTAAAATAACAAATACAAACTATAAAATAATGCTTACAGACAGAACAATATTAAGCCCAACTAGCCAGATACAAATATAAGTACATGAATATATATGAATTATAACAGCCATCTTGGTTTAAACAGGTTGGAGCCTGGCCCTTTACCTGGCTCCCTTATTAGTGTTTGTCAAAAAGACAAACGAGAATATATATGAATATTGAGTAAATGTAAATATATAATGCTACGTAATGAACATTGATAGCCAGTTCGTGTTGATTTCAATACACAAAGCCACTTGCCAATTACTCGATAAAGCCTTGGTAGAATTCATCTACACTATAATAGGGCCTCCTAACAAGGAATTCTCTTACATTCTTTCTGAATTTCTTTTCATTATGTATTCAGCTTAAAATAATGGGAAGGTGATTAAATAACTTTTTGCTATTGAAAATAATAGAATTTTGTGTTAGAGCTAGAGTAGGTGTTGGAAGGGAAATGAAGTAAGACTGACGTGTACTATAAGTTGAGGTGTTATAAAACTGATTTTTATATTTTTTGTGGATAAGACACACTATTTCCAAAATAAAAAGACCTACTAAGGTAGGAATTTTTACTTCACAAATAATAGGCGGCATGAATCCCTGTAGCTAGCCTTGCATAAATATCTGATGGATCTTTTTTGTAGATAGAATACCATATTGAACGAAATTGTGCACAATTTCTACAGAAGCAAATTCCATAACGTAAATATGACTCAATTTGTGCAAAGTACACTGATCTGGTACACTAGTACACTGTCCTTGCAACAACTCTCACTGCATGACATCCTACTGCTAGACTACATAAGTAGTCGACATGGAAATCAAATTTTAGATTTTCATCAATGAAGAGCTCTAAAAATTTGTTTTTCTCCAAATTTTCAATTTTTACATTTTCCAAGTGTACTTTCCAAGTGTACATATAAACGTGATCACATTTGTTTCGTCGATGTTGAATGATAAAAGATTAGAATCACACCACTCTTTCACCCTTCTTATATGTCGACGATGATTTGATCAAGTAAATTTGAGGTGGTATTGCTATGCCAGAGGATAGTGGTATCGTCAGCAAAACATGTGAATTTACCACTTATGTCAACATGGACTCGGTCATTGACATAAATGAGAAACAACACCGGTCCCAAAACGGAACCTTGTAGGACCCACTGCCAATGAAACGTTCCTCTGCTGAAATTCCATCTAATAGAACATTCTGCCGCCGATGAGAAAGGTACATCTCAAACCAAAGTAATGCAGATCCTCTAAATCCGTAAACTTCTAGCTTGCCAAGAAGAAGTAGTATGTGGTCTACACAATCGAAGGCCTTGGTTAGGTCACAAAACATGGCCGCCGCAGATTATCTTTCATTGAGTGAAAATATGGCGTCTTGGGTACCTTTTGAAGACTGAAAGCCAAATTGGAATAAATTTATCATATTGTTTTTCTCAAGGAAGGATATTACTCTTTTTTCAATTTTTTCTATAACTTCAGACACGACCAAAGCAATTGGCCTGAAATTAGCTGGGTTGTCAAGATCGCCTCCTTTATATAGAGGAATGATTGTGGCAATCAATTGCCACAATTTGCCTCCGCCAACGGACTCAAAGCCCTGTTGGAAAGAGTTATCAGAATTTTTAAGGAAATAGCATCCCACCCCACCAAATTTTTATTTTTGATTTCACCAAACATTTCTTTCATTTCATAGATATTCGTAGGTGTAAAAAAGAAAGTAGAAGGTACTGCAATATTCTTTGAGTATGACATCGGGTCGTTTTTGATAATGATTTTTTCAGCGAGTTTAGATGCCTTAGAACTCAAATTCATTTGAGTTTAGAGTTTTTTTCACGGAATTTCGAATTTTTCATGGAGTTTCAAGTATCTTTTCTGATCGAATGACATAATTTCTGGTAAATGTGGAATAAAAATCGTTGAAAAGGAACTTGTTGCTTATAATAATGCCGGTCAGATTTTTAGTACACCTTTATTGTGGCACCGTTATGGACTGAAGAAAAATTTCACTTTCATAACTTTATTTCATATCCAACTGCTTTCTTTATACTGAAATACACATCCAGAGCATACATCATAGAATTGATATAACTCAGAAGGCAAGTTATCAGAATGAAAGTTCTTTCTCTAACAACTCGTTTTTCCACACTGATGGACGAACGACTGATACCTTCATACAACAATAAGGTGGCAGACGAAAAAAATAACCCTATTCCAAGGATGTTGAATATTCTGATGTGAACGTCTTTCATAGTACAGCCTAGCATGTGGCTGAGAATGATGACACTGCTGATGATACCGAGACTCCCAAATACGATGTTCGGATATATCAAGGACCTGACGGTGTTCTCGAGGAGCAGGAGACCTTCAGAGTATACTCCTATGCAGGTGAAGGCAATTATCTAAAACATACAAGCGATATCAGTTCTTCTCTTGTAGATAGATAGACCTTTATTTCTAGTAGGTTAAACAGCCCCCACTTTGCAAGTGTCCCCCCTGACAATAAAATAGACCTGTTTTTTCGATTCCTTATATCGTTTACTGGAAGGAAGATATTAAGGGTGGGAAGTTTTCAAATTGACACCCTGTATAATTCAATTCTGGATAAAATAAAGACTTCGTTTTCAACATGTACTGTCTGAAACCAATATTTCATATTTGATTGTATTTCATTGCTATTTTTTCAAGATGTTACGTGTTTATTGTAAAAACGAGAAATGCAGCTTTATATCTTTTTTGACCACTTGTATTTGTAACTAACTTCACTGCAGTTTTGTCCTATAAGAACATTTTCAAACGAATACGATAATAATAACAGTATTATATTCGTTTGAAAACATTCATTTCTCATTTTCAATGTAGTAACGACTACATCCATCAATTTGTTTATTATAAAATATTTCAAAGTACTGACAAATTTCATAAATTTGACTCAAAATTGTAATATGGGATTACTTTCAGTGAAATCCATAAATGAGAGCAATTGTTCGGAACAGTTGCGACGTCGCACAGTGTAACCAAGTTCTGGAGATAATGGACAAAAAATATTAACCACTAGTTATTTTGAAATGAACATTTGTATTAAGTTAAGAATTTTTTTCTGTGCGGTGAACCCGCTCCCACTTTTTTGATATATTAGCCTTTCTAATACTACTAAATATTTCTCTAGAAACATCGTGCAGATCAAATTGACCCAATATTTGNGTTCAGTAGTTTGGTAGTAGTTGCGTTACCTTGTGGGGTGGATATCATTTTGAATGATACAACTAATTTTCCTTTATTTTCAGTATTTCAATATTAAATTTCACAAAAAGAATTCGAAGCTTTATTTCTTCTATTAATTATCTGCGAGCGCTTTCGACAGCTAGTCGTACTGTCATCATCTAGGCTCCACTCAAACTGAACGTGTCATCCTGTTGTTTGTCCTTTCATACGGTCCGAACGCAGGTACTCCAAGTACTTTAGGTAAATTTGCCGGTATTTGGATTACATCAGGTACTATTCTTTGTGTTGGATCTTCTCTAGGTTTATTGTTTCTACGAGTGTGTATTTGATGTTAGGTCTTGTTGTGTTTTGATTTGTACTTGTTGCTCGATAAGTGATTTGTGACTGTTAAATTTATGTCCATGCGGCTTCCCTTATTGACTTGTTTTATGAGTTTTATGTTCTCTGGTGGGGGGAAATTATGTTTGTTTTGTATGGCGTGTGTTGCGAGATTTGATCTATATACTATTGGGTTTATGTATGCCTTTTTGTGATCCTCGTACCTTTGAAATTGAAATTTCCAAATTAAATATCCTCATATAGCACAGCCCTCGATAAAGCTAATAAACATTAGCGAAAGCTCGGGCAGTTGAAAAGAGTAATATTTATTCTAATCAGACCGAATCCCTAAAGAAACTACTCTTCTATATATAGATACATATTAAAGTTATTGTGATTCTTCTATAATAAGATTATAATTGAATAACGGAATTAGTTAGCTCCCTAACTATATTATTGAAGGGGAGCTGTTGGAAGGTAGGTTGCACTATATCGTTTACTTGAACTAAACAACTTATCGACTTGACCGTACTGCATACGCGATGCACGCAATATTGTTAAACGCAGGTAACATTAAACGTGATCAAGAACAAAGCCAACTCACCACTTGAATAACTTTCAAAATGAATTCCCTTGACCAAAAATCGTTCATTTCGGGCACCTGAATTTCTCTGGGATCACTCGCATTCGTAATATTCATGTCAGGATCTACATCAACACTAAAAAATCTCATTAGAGCCACGGCGTGTGACCTATTTTCCGATGCACTGTTTTCATCCATTTCCACTTGTCCGAGTCTTTCGAACTTTTAGTTTTATTTGACTTCACTTTGAAAATGCGGAGTCTAAATCGAGGCTTTTCATGTTTATTATTTAGGTTGGGTAACGTAAATAGAGCATTTGATTCTTTATATTATAGCGCTACCGATTCAATCCCCGGTGTTCACCGCTTTTGTGATGAAATTCTTTACTTGCTTTTTTAGGTATGCTATAAATAGATTCTGATGTATTGTTGGCAGATATCGTATGAAAATAAATTACCTTGTACTTACTGGAAATATGTTCTGACAGATTACTCCAAACAATACGTGCCAACGTTTCGAATGGACCAATAGATGCATCGGTGGATTTATCGAGATTTNAACTAAAATTTCAACTAATTTTTGAATGTCTATCGCCTTACTGAATCACTTCGCTTACTGCACTGTAACGTCCACTTGACTGTGTCGATATCCTCGTGGCTAGCCTTCAAATATCGTAATCGAATGCCCTAGAAATTTCGCCAAAGTTTTCTCGAAGTCGGGAACATTATTCTCGCTGCTTCTCGAGTGGCGATTATCATCGTACATTCGCACGCTTTTGGCTACGTCACCATTGGTTCATGGTTACCAATGACGGCCGGCGTTATTTTCTTTCGGGCATGATTTACAATACTACTCCCTTCCCGAGGTTGTTCGCCCCGATCCAAGAGGGGACATCACGAACCATGTAGGGACTCAGCCTCTCTATGTTGACAATTTTAGGCTTGCTTTTGGGACCATTGGATTCTGTACACCAGATTATTTATCTTTTTGGTTACCAAGTGAGGTCCTTGCCTTGGTTTTTGCAACTTGGGACACAAACCTTTCCGATGTTGGGGTTGGTAGAGCCATACTGCATCGCCCTCCTTGAAGCTCACTGGCAGCGACTTTTTGTCAAATCTTATCTTCATCCTGTCGCTGGAAAGCTGTAATTTGGTCCTGGCAAATTCGTGTACAATTTCCAGTCCATTAAGATTCATCGAAGGGCTGCCATACAATTATCGGAAGCTTCAGTTCCCTAGCGGTTAACAAAATGAATGGTGTATAACCTGTCGCGTCATGTTGGGAAAAAGAGGAACAATTTATACCAGTCTCTTCGGTTTTCGGAGAAAAACATCGAGAGGTAGTTATTGATAGTGCGATTATGCCTCTCGACCATTCCATCGAATTGTGGGTGTAGAGCAGTTGTTTTTGTCTTCTCTGTTCCCAACAGAGTTATTATTTCCTTCCATAAGTCCGTTCTGCAACAGGGCTTCTGCCGACGTTTTAGCCTCTTGGTATGGTAAGGCTATTAATTCGGCCCGTTCTGCAACAGGGCTTCTGCCGACGTTTTAGCCTCTTGGTATGGTAAGGCTATTAATTCGGGCTATTTGGAAAAGTAGTCCATCACATCCATAAGGTACTTGTCACCGGATTTGGTCATAGGGAGTAGTCCCAAAATGTCGACAGCGATTCTCTCGATAGGGCATCCACTGAGGTACTGCTTCATCTTTCTTCTTTGCCTTATCTTTGGACCTTTTCTCGGAGAGCACAGGTCACAGCGCTTACACCATTCTTCCACGTCTCGACGGCAATTGACCCAATAGTACCTCACCCGCACTCTCGCTAGAGTTCTATTTACTCCGAAATGCCCTCCAGTGCGACCATCGTGAAGCTGTTCGAAGATACTCGGTATACACGTCTTAGAAAGGATCATCTGGAATTTGTGGGTTCATCCATCCGGGCTTTCCTATTTCCGAGGTCATCTCGAAAGCTCATGGAGTCCCATTGGAGCCAGTAACCCTTTTCCTGCTGGCCGTGCTTGGAAATCTCTCATTCCGGTCTCACTCCTTTGGCAGTCCATTCTCGTACAGTTTTCAAGGCGGGGTCCTCCTTCTGCGCTACGATGATGTCTTACCTCGTCAGGAAGGTAGTGTCAACCTCAGAGGCTGTTAACGACCGTACCACACCGTGGACAGGTGATTCCTCAAATTGTTTGTCCATATCCCGTGACAAGGGACCCTTACAGGTTGCTACCCTCCGGGTCAGAGGAAACCCGAAGCGGCGGGTGATAAGTTTATCAGTCGATTCAGATTATAATTAGGAATCGATTTCACAAATGAAATAAAGTCAAAGGGGTATATTTTTAGGCCACATGAATCTTGTTTAAACTGTAAAGGTTACATTTTGAAGAGACATGAGTTTTTGAGAAAAAAACTTTTTGGTTTTCACTTCTCCGCCTTTATACAAAACAATTACGAGAAATTTTCGAAATAAGGAAGAAAATAATTNGTTTACTTATCTCATAATTATCCTGGATAATGAACGATAATACGGATATGATGATTTCATTGTTTCACAGGTTGTCTCATGAAGAAAAACTATGAAAGACCTTTAAGATTAAAATACACATATACTTATGAAATAGCACTGATATGATGATTGATTGGTAATGAATTCTTTCATTAAGAGCTCAATAACTGGCGGTTTTCACTTCTTTGTGAAACACTTATTCGGGTATAATATTTCAAACCTCATACTTACCTTCCATTGAAACAGTCTATATGAAATATTGATTAGTTTTCTACAGTGATGTAAGACATATGAATTTAACAAATGCGCGTTACAAAATGCCCTAGCTTTTTATATTTTAGTCCGCACAACTGGTGTGATAAAAATTCCAGATGAATATAATATTTACAATTTGCGTTAATATATTTGGAATCCGGTGTAATTATAACGACACTGTTTTGTACAGGAAAATGTGAGACGTATTTTTTAAATATTTAAAAAGTGAAATGGATACTTAATACATCCTTATATAGTGTGGTTCAAGAGTCAGGTTAGGTTAGGTTAGGTCCAAAGTGAGTGGGTCTATTCGACGCTCCACCGCAACCCGTAAGTGTTTATTGTGGCTTACACCTATTCACACTCGACCAAATGAACCCAGCTTCCTAACGAAGCCGATTCGTTTGTATGGTGAGTGTTCTTTCAGGTCGTATGGTAAGAGTACGGGTCTGCCGAACTCTGAAAACCTGATTTGGTCTCCAGCGGGGTAAGCACAGAGTATATGCTCTGCAGTTTCATCATTTTCCAAACAGAGGCGACAAACACTGTCTTTCGACGGTCCGAGTCTCTGCATATTATGATTCAAATGACAGTGACCTGTAAGAAGACTTGTTAGACATCGTAGTTCATCCCTACTGTAGTCCAACAGCTGTTTGGTATCAAGCTGCGAAGGGTGAATAAACGCCTTAGAGTGAGCCAATCCTGGAAGATTCTGCCAGAAGTCCATAAATCTTTATTGCCATCCAGTTGTTCAATCTTCATTTGGCAAAGCCTATAGCGAAGCCAATGACAGGTTCTGGTCCGATAAAACTGCTTGCATCACCCTCCTTTGCAAGGGAGTCAGCAGCCTCATTGCCTTCCATGCCAGTATGGCCAGGAATCCAGACCACAGAAATCTGTTGAGTCTTCCTATCGAGGAGAGTCTTTTTTGGCAGTTTGCTACCAATTTAGACGTTGCTCGGTGGGAGCCAAGAGCTTCCAACGCCGCTTGACTGTCCGAGAATATTTTTATTGACTTGTGTATGAGGTTGGATTCTTCCAATCTCTTCGCACACAATTCAATAGCGTGAATTTCCGCTTGAAATACAGTCGCATAGGTTCCTGGCAGGTTGATATATCTGTCCTGGGTCTGCGACTGAAAACACCTGCACCAGAAGCGGAAGGTGTTTTTGATCCGTGTGTGAACCAACAACTATCTGCTCTTAATATTTCCTTCTTCCGGAGGATCCAGTCCTATCTACTCGGGAACAGTACTTCATAAAGACAGTTCGTAGTTAACAGTTGGAGGCATAATGTCAGAGGTCATTTCCAAAATGCTGTGACTTCCAGTGTCAACCAACAGTTTGTTACACTCTGCATTAAATTGAGTTGTGCAATTGGCAATATGCACAAGTCTATATGCATTCCATCTAGTCTCTCTCTCCAGAAAAATGTGGAGAGGGGGTAAATCTAAAAGGATCTCCATTGCCGCTGACGGTGTGGTACTGATGGCCAGACAAGCCTGTCTCTCTAAGCCCAAGTTTTACCACAAATCCTTCGACATGTCCATAGGGAGAGTCTGGATTTGTGTAAAACTGTTCTCAAGTGAGCGTTCCAGGTGAATTTTTCATCAAGGACGGTTCAAGAGTGAAATCTCAATCTGATCTGTAGCTCATTGACTACAATTATGTCGACATCTTTTGATCCACGAAGAGTTCTTCTCGAAAATCATCAGAACCAGCTCATATCTTGAAAAGATTGATGAATGTATCCGTTACTACGTGGTTGGAGACCACAATGGAAAATTGAGAATTAAAACTTAATATTTTTTTATAACACTTTTATATGTAACTAACTTGCAATACAATACATTTGTATTCATTATTTAGGTTGGGTAACGTAA